GTCACCTCAGGGAAGGGAAGGGCAGGATTGCCGTGTCACCTCAGGGAAGGGCAGGATTGCTGTGTCACCTCGGGGAAGGGCAGGATCGCTGTGTCACCTCAGGGAAGAGAAGGGCAGGATTGCCGTGTCACCTGGCAGGGCTGCACGCTGCCCTCAGCATCCCGGGGAGTCAGCTGCTTCCCTGCACATCCCCTTCTCCCTGGGGCGCTGCTGCTATAAATAACTGCTGGAAGCAGCTGAAAAAGCCATGAGTGGCTGAGCAGGGCCCAGCTCTGCCTTCTGAGGAGCCCTGTGCTGCCATGGCACTCAGGAAGGGTCGCTGTGCTGGGGGTGCAGCGTGCACAGTGGCTGTGCCGTGAGGAAAAAGGGGATCAGTTGTTGCTGGCACGTTGTGAGGGATGTCTTGGTTTGGAAAGACAGGTGTCAGTGGATGCTGTAGTTCTTATCAGCCTGTTATCAGCAGATGTCTCCCCCACCAGGGAGGAGTGGGTGTGGACGAGATAAGGAAAACTGCCCACTGAACAGAAGACAGCTGCCACACAGATGGCAAACAGAATACAATTTGTTAGCAATCCAGGACAAGGGACTTGTCACTCCGGGCACTCTGCTCTTGGGGTGGCACCGGAGGAGCAGCCAGGCAGCAGATCTCACCATGTCCGTGCCATCTCAGTGTCACTGCAGTCATTCATGATTCCATCCAGGCACAGACACCCTGGGAGCTCCCTGATGTCCGTGCGAGTGTGACGCGTTGCTCTGTGTCTGTCACAGGCCTGAAGGCTGGCGACGAGGTGCTGCAGATCAACCAGCGAGCTGCGGAGGAGCTGGACTCGGCGCTGCTGAAGGACGCGCTGCTGCAGCCCTCGCTGAGCCTCACCGTGCGCACCCACCCCGAGCCCGAGGAGCCCCAGAGGCTGGGCCAGCCCCCGCGGCGCCCAGAGAACCCCCCGGAGCCCGGGGACGGCGCCCTGCCCTTCCCTGGGGGCAGCCAAGGTACGGGGGCAGCGCACCAAGCACTGCTGAGTGCCCATTCCTTCCCTGCTGGGAGGGAGGGAAACCACAGCCCGAGCTGGGCACGGGGTCCCGGGGGCTCGCAGGGGTGCCCTTTACCCTGGCAAAGACCTTTAAAATGTCAGCACCAAGCTGGGCTTACTTGCAGTGTGTAAAGGTTATCGGGCTCCCAGCTCTTGGCCAGGCTGTGTCACTTTCTCCTTACAGAGGAGCAGGTGCCAGGGTCAGTGTCTTTGGCTCTGTGACTAAAGTCCTGGCACACAGCAGAGAGGTGTGAGCCTGTGCTTGATGGCCATTATTGCTATTGGGACTGGCAGCAGGCACAGACTTCTGTCTTCAGGGAGTTCCCTTTCCTTTCTCTACCTTCTCTCTCTCTGCCTGCACCCACTGTTTTTATAAATTATTTTCTCCCTGGCAGCTGCAGCCAGGCAGTGAGTGAGGGGGAAGTATGGCTGTGCCATCAGCCTGTGACACCTGTGTCATCACCACAGGCACCCCACGTCCTGGGGCTGGGCCCAGGACAGTCCCAGAACCAAGAGCTCCCATCTGGGCAGCTCAGGAGGTGCTTTTTCCTCTGGATTTGCCCACAGGATCTACGTATGGCAAGGGGAGGAAGAGTTAAAGCATTCTGTGTGCAGTTTGGGACACCACAACATAAAATAGGTCTCAAGCTGTTGGAGAGTGCCCCAAGGAGGCACACGAGGGTGGGAAGGGTCTGGAGGGGCCACACGAGGAGCAGCTGGGGGCTCCTGGAATGTTCAGCTGGAGGAGAGGAGACTGAGGGAATCTCACTGGGGTCTGCAGCTTCCTCCAGAGGGGCAGCTCCAGTCTCTGCCCCTGGGACAGTGGCAGGAAGGGCTGGAGCTGTGCCAGGGAGGTTTGTGTTGGATGTTGGAGGGTGCTGGCACTGCCCAGGCTCCCCAGGGCATGGGCACAGCCCCACAGAGCTCCAGGAGCGTTTGGACAGTGCTCCAGGGATTCCAGGTGGGATTGTTGGGGTGAATGTGCAGGGCTGGGCTGGATGATCCTTGTGGGGCCCTTCCAGCTCAGGAGGTTCTGTGGCTCTGTGAGTCACCTCTCTGGGGTCAGCCAGCAGCACAGGGGCTCTGTGTGTTTGGTGAGATGCACAAATAACTCGCAGGGATGTTTTAAACCACCAGAATCTAGGGGTTGACATTACAGCCTGACATATGCAGGTGACCCCAGAGCACAGTGCCTTGGGGAGGGACATTGCTGCTCACCACACTGCCCAGCTGGCAGGAGATCAATCCATAGCAACTGGGAATTGTTTGCCACAAGTTTGGCTCCTGAATTTCTGCGGGCTCCTCTATATCTGACAGCAGAAGAGGACACTGGTGGTACCTCTTGCTTCAGTTTTTTGGGATCATTTAAAATACAGGAAAAATCAGTGGGATTGCCAGGATGAAGTAGTTTCTAGGTAATCAAAGCTGTTCTGAGCTGAGACTGGCTTTGGGGAGTGTGATATTCACAGCAAGTGGAAAAGAGGGAGCAGGAAAAGCTTCCACACAAAATTATTGCAAATCCTTCTGAGGGGACTGCTAAAGGCAGCCTCGTGTAAGACGTGGACTAAACCTACACAGGCAATTAAAATTCAACATTTTCATGAAATTTTCCCCTTTTAATTTTCATGGAAGCCTTCCTAGTTAGGCTTTTGTGCTGGAAAATCCAGGTAGTCTTGTGCATTTTCACAGCTGGCCACAAGATGCCCCCATTTGCTGCTCAGCAGCAGCTTCTCACCAGCCTCTTGTGATTTGTCACTGAAGCCCTGAGTGCTGGGGCTTGTAGCTGAGCTTTTCCCTGAGGAGCAGAGGGTTGGGAGCTGGCATTTCTGTGTTCAGAGCTCTCCCAGCACTCACATCCCTTCTGAACACAGGGAACGGGCTGGGATCTGCCTCTGTCCCCCCCAAAAGGAGGGGAATATTTCTTCCAGCCAGCAGGAGGAGTGCAGGTGTCCCTGGCAGCTTCTGTAGCTGCCACATGAAATAATTTGGGATGGCTGAGCCCGAGGTGGGAGTGAAATCAAGGCTTTGCACCCAAGTGTGTGACTGGGAGGCAGCTGATCTTCCCCACCCATTTCCTGCTGTGTTTTACTGAAGCCTTTTTTTCCTGCTCCTGTGCTTTGTCAGGGATCCATTACCTACATGACATTTAAAAAGGGGTCTCTGCTCGCATTTGGGATATTGTGATGTTGCCTTGGATTTTTGTTCATCTTGGATTCTTGTTCTTGGCTCCACAGCTTCTTGCAGAGAGCAGTCAAGTATGAAATACCCACTGACCTGTTTATTCGTGTCCTTGTTGGTGCAGGCAGCCTGCCTGGCCAGGCAGATGAGCTCCATGATTTCTGCTGAGTGCTGTTTTGTTTCTAGGACACAGATTCAGGCTGTGGCCGAGGCACTGCAGCCCCCTGTGCAGGGTGGCAGTGCCAGCGGGCACCCAGCACCTGTGGGCACGTCCCTTCTCCAGGAATCCAGCACTGGTCTATGCTGGATTATCTGCTTCCTTCAGCTGTGAAGGCAGCAAAGGGTAGATTTTATTTCTTGTGTGAGGCAAATGATATTGTTTATTTTCAAAATATAAGTGTCACTTTTTTTTGAAGGTGCTTTGCTGCTCGATGGGAGGTGTAGAGGAGCAAAGCAGGGCTGTGTTTCTGGGAGCTGAAGTGTCTGCCAGAGCTCCTGCTACATCTGCCATCTCTCACAGCTCTTCCATCCCCTGGAGCTCCCTTGCCCGTGCTGAGCTGGGGGCTGGAGGTGCAAACAGCTCTGTGGCCGTGGTTCCCTCGCTGTGCTGGCTTGGCAGGTTATTCTGGAAGTGCCTTTGGCTTTTGTGGTTGATGTGAGAGCTGCCCTCCTGGGCACGATGGATGCTTTCCCCGTGGAGCTGCACTGCCTTTGCAGAGCCACAGGTTTTGTTCCTTTCATCTGTTACTGCTCTTCCTGGCTCTGGTGCTCTCCTGTAACACAGCCTGCATAAATTTGGCTGAGGAGGATTAGCTCTGGTTGTGTCTGGAGCCCCACAGCAGGTTTTCCTGATGGCCTGAAAGGATCATTGGGGTCTGTCTGCCCTCACCACGAGGCGTGTTCTGCTCCCCTGGCTGCAGGGAATGAGAGCTGAAAGCTGGGAGCACAGCCTTGGACCTGCCCAGGCCATCAGGAAGGTACTCTGCTCTTGGAAGGGGATTTGGGAATAGCACCCACATTTCTTTGTTTCACCCCCTTCTTTCAGTGTGGGGCAGTCTCTGGGGTTTAGGCTTTGCCTGCCCCTGGATTTTGGAGATCTTTAGCATGGGGGACAATGTGAAGCTCATAAATCACCATGCAGAGTGGATAAAGGCTGGAAAGGGTGTTTCAGTCTCCTGGATAGGAACAGCTGGGTGTTTTAGGGAGTTTGTTGTTTTGGGGCTCAGAGAGCAGCCAGAGGCTGGAGTTACTGACACACAGGCTAAATCCATGCTGTAAAAATGAAACCAACTCCTGCTGCACTGTAAGAACAGCCACTGGTTTTCATTCCATCCTCGTTCCACTTGTTTCATTCCATTCACAGGCCCCCTTGGGCTGAGTAATTTGGATTTCGGAACCAGCTGAGGCCACCAGTGACCCTCATTTCTTCAGGGTTATTTTCACAGGGCTGATTTCAGACTTCTTGTAGCACATTTCTTGTTCTTGATGTAACAATTCCGGGGCACTTCCTGCAGCAGCCACCGGAGGGCTTTGGGATAAAATTTCATTTTTCATCCCCAATTCCCCAAATTGCTGCAGTGCTGCCTCGCCCTCTGGCGGCCTCTGGTCCTGCACAGGAGGCAAGGCTGGTGTTCCCGATTTCCCCATGGAAATAAATCCCATCCCCAGCATCCCAGGGCGCTCCTTTCATAGCTCAGTGTTTCAGGGCTAACCAGAATTCTTCTGCAAGGAAGAAAAAAGGACACACTCCTATTTTATTGCAGATTTATAGGTGAAATGCCATCTTAAATAAAAATTTAATCCATGACACCATTCCCTAACAACTCCTGTCAAAAATGGTGCATTTAATGACAGAGTCTCTTCAGTGAGGCACTCTCTTGTCATTACAGGGCCATTCCTCCCTGGCAGCATTTGGATTAAGGAAGCTGCTGTTACACTGCCCAAATAGATGATATTGGGGTATTTTTGAAGCTTAGGCACTGAGGTGCAGGATTCCTGGTGTGCATTTTGTGTTAGCAGGGTGCACACTTGGAGCTTTGTGCTGCAGCTGGCAGAGCTTGGCTCGGGATATTTATTCCCATGGCACTGAAATAAATATATAGATAATAAGAAATAAATATATAGCCTGGCAGCGAGAAGGAGGCTTTAAGAGAGGTAACACACATTGTGGAATTCTCATTAAAACCTTGAGTTACGCCAGCCCTGTAAAATGTGGAAAATTCCAGCCAAGTGCTGGGCTGGTGCTGAAGCTTTCCATGATTTTCCAGACCTTTAAGCCCCAGCACCTTTGCTCCAGTGATGGAAAACTTCCTTCCATTGTGCTGGTTGTAGCCATAGGTAGAGTTGTTTAATGGGCATTGGTCACACTGTCACAGGTGTGGCACTGCTGAGGGGCTCCTGTGACCTCCCCCTGTGCTGGGGCCACGCACAGGGCTTGACCCCCTTTTCCTGCTGCTTTTTTGGATTTCCCCTTCCAATTCCTGAATGTCCCATGAAGGCAGCAAATGGCAGTGGCCAGCAGGACGGAAAGCAGCCCGCTCACTCTCCTGGCAGAGCTAAATAAGGATCCCCAGGCAAAAAGCAGGTGATGGAACGATCCTGACAGAAGTGGGGCGGGAGCTGGGAGCTTTTCACGGGCAGGAACGTGCAGCTTTATTGCTCTGGCTGCATTTAACGAGCAGCAGATAAACCTGCTCAGGTCCCTGCTGGCCAAAGGCATCAGCAGCAGCCTGAGCACACGTGCTGTGTGTCTGCTCCTGTGAGAGATCCCTGTCTGCTGGCTGGAAGTGCAGGAAATGGGTTAAATGGGGCTTTGGCAGGCAGGAAAAGGAAAAGGGGTGGCTTAAAAGTAAACTGAACAAATATTATTACCTTGGTTTGGGCTGAGAAACAGCTGCAAGGTGCATTTCACACTGCTGGAGAAGGGAAATGAATTGCAGTGAAAAAACACAGTCTGCCCCACACAGATTAAGGCACACTTATTTTCTCTGGTTTTTTTTAAATGGACACCTTGAACATTCTTTTTCACAAGTTAATAGGGAGAGCAGAAATCTGATAGTGAGATTTGATAAAATCTGGGCAAGGCTCAGAAAACCAAACTTCTTAGAGAAAAAACACTTCTTCAAATAGATTCTGTGATGCCAAACAACCCCTCCAGGCACATCTTTTTCCAAGGTAGGCCCTCCCTTTTCGGAAGAGGGCCTGAGCTCTGAGCTACCTTTTATGTCCTTTCCATTTCATCAATGCCCAACTTGGCTCCATCCCAGCGTGCAGAATTTGTTCTGAAGTTACTTCCAAATTTCTGAACTCTGGCTTTTCCAGATTACCTCTGGACATAACAAAGTGGGAAATCTTGCACAGTCATGCAATTCATTTTTAATAATGGGGTCTAAAAGCTTGCCTGAACAGCAGCTGAACGTTGGGTCCTGACTCCTAAAAAGGTCTAAAACTGGGTTTGTTTCCTCAGCAAGTGACTGTGTCAGGCCAGAAATGCAGGCAGTGCAATCACCACGTCCCACGTGGGCAGGGCAGGCTGGCCAGCACCAAGAGCTGCATTCTCCCAGTTTCCACGTGAAACCACTGGGCTGGAAAGGTCCTTGGCACTGCTCACCAGCCAGGCAGTGCAAGCTGGATGTCAGGACTTGAATGTGACATTTTAGCCTTATCTCTGAATCTGTAGCTGCCAGGGAAATGATGTGTGGTCGTAACCTGTTTGTTTTTACACCTGTCTGCAAACCCTCCTCGCAGGTCCTTGGCTGCCTCTGGGCGTTGGTGTTCCAAGGGAGCTCCAGGGCTGCAGCACTGTTCCTGGGGATTTCGGGGAGCTCTGGCCGTGTTTTCACACCTGTGTTACTCTGGCAGGGCACTCCCTCTGCAGTGACCCCGACAGCTCAGCTGAGGCAGCCCCGGAGGAGGCGGAAGCGCAGGACCTGGAGTCGTCCGACGAGGCCGAGAAGATGAGCAAGGTGAGGAGGAGGTTCAATTTCCACCTTTCCTGGGAAAACTGTGAAGGATGATCCCAGATGGATCTGGGAAGGTGTCTATGGATGATCCCAGATGGGATCAGTGAAGGTGTCTGTGGATGATCCCAGATTGGATCTGTGAAGGTGTCTGTGGATGATCCCAGGTGGGATCTGTGAAGGTGTCCATGGATGATCCCAGATGGGATCGGTGAAGGTGTCTGTGGATGATCCAGGATGGGATCTGTGAAGGTGTCTGTGGGTGATCCCAGATGGGATCTGTGAAGGTGTCCATGGATGATCCCAGATGGGATCGGTGAAGGTGTCTGTGGATGATCCTGGATGGGATCTGTGAAGGTGTCTGTGGGTGATCCCAGATGGGATCGGTGAAGGTGTCCATGGATGATCCCAGGTGGGATCTGTGAAGGTGTCTGTGGATGATCCCAGATTGGATCTGTGAAGGTGTCCATGGGTGATCCCAGGTGGGATCTGTGAAGGTGTCCATGGATCATCCCGGATGGAACAAGCCACAGCTGTGTTCATGGCACATTGCCTGCTGCCTCTTCAGCCAGATCCATGCCCTTTTCCCAGGGTGGGTTCACATCTCCAGTACCTGGGATACTGTTCCCCACAGTTTGTAGAAGGGCTCCATCCATTATCACCTCCATCCCCAGAGCAGCTCCTCTAAACCACGTGGATTGTTAGGATTTCTTGTTCTTTCTTGAATTCTAGGCTTAGTACAAATGTGAATTAAGCTGTATTTCCTTACAGCAGTAGCATCCTCACACGCAGGTTTCTAACTGCAAACTAATCACAGCCAATCCACCTCAAACTGAAGCAAAACTCTCCAGCTACAGCTAAGAGCTTGTGCAAATGGCTTGCTAATTGCCATCGATTTTCCACAGCGGTTGGTGGTGACAGCAGGTGATGATTGGTGGCTCTGAGGCACAATCCAGGAGATTATCTTGATTGCCTTGAGGTATTGGTGATATAGGTGATGCTGAGAGCTTACAGCTGTTTTTCCCCACAGTTAATAAGAGTTAGATCTCGGTTTGTTGGGGTTTCCCCTCGGTGCCTGTTTTCTCTCCTGTTTTAACCAAGCTGCGTTGCAGTGAGCTCTGGGCTGGTCCCTTGCTGCTGCACTGCAGAGAAAGGAAGGAAAAGACCTTGGCCTCTTGTTTCCTGATCCCTTGTGGCACTCCAGCCTGGACTTGTGTCCTTGACAGCCACACCGCGGAAGGGAAACATGAAATGCTCAGGGAAGGGGATTACAGCTTGTTTCTAGCTTTTATTGAGGAACTTCTTCTTGTAAGTACAAACAATTCCTTCTTCAGTCAGTGGCCATGTTTGTTGATACTTTGGGATTTTTAACTGTGAGTTTCTTCTCCTGTAAGTGGAAGTCTTTGTTGAAACTTTGGGATTTTTATCTGTAAATTGCTTCTCCTGTAAGTGGAGATGTTTGTTGATACTTGGTGATTTTCAACTGTGAATTTCTTTTCCATTAAGTGGAAATGTTTGTTGATATTTGGGGATTTTTAACTGTAAATTTCTTCTTCAGTCAGTGGTCGTGCTTGTTGATAGTTTGTGATTGTTACCTGTAAATTTCTTCTTTAGTAAGTGGAGGTGTTTGTTGATACTTTATGATTTTTAACTTTATGATACTTTATTATTTCTTCTCCAGTAAGTGGAAGTGTTTGTTGATAGTTTGGGATTTTTAACTGTAAATTTCTTCTTAAGTGGAGATGTTTGTTGATACTTTGTAATTGTTACCTGTAAATTTCTTCTTTAGTAAGTGGAGATGTTTGTTGATAGTTTGTGATTTTTAACTGTGAATTTCTTCTCCAGTAATTGGAGGTGTTTGTTGATACTTTGTTACCTGTAAATTTCTTCTTTAGTAAGTGGAGATGTTTGCTGATAGTTAGGGATTTTTAACTGTTAATTTCTTCTCCAGTAATTGGAGATGTTTGTTGATACTTTGTAATTGTTACCTGTAAATTTCTTCTTTAGTAAGTGGAGATGTTTGCTGATAGTTAGGGATTTTTAACTGTTAATTTCTTCTCCAGTAATTGGAGGTGTTTGTTGATACTTTGTGATTTTTACCTGTTAATTTCTTCTTTAGTAAGTGGAAGTGTTTGTTGATACTTTGTGATTTTTACCTGTGAATTTCTTCTCCAGTAATTGGAGGTGTTTGTTGGTACTTTGTGATTTTTAACTGTAAATTTCTCCAGCCAGTGGAGGTGTTTGTTGGTGTTTGGGGTGTCTGACTGTAAACACGTGGGATTTTCACGTGCTCTGAGCAGAGTGTGTTCTGGCAGAGGAGGCTGTGGCTCTGGGGAGCCAGGGCTCTCCCTGGCTTTTCCAGGCCTTTCTGCCCTGAGCTGTGCCACAGGCTGGGGTTTGCCCCTTGCTCCTGGGTGCTCAGAGCTGGAATTGCCTGCACAAGGCGTGAGGATTACCCGATTAGCTCTGCAGCTCAGCAGATTTAGTCAAACTGAGAAATGGGTGTTAGCAGCTTTAATGCTTAATATTCCATCCTGGAGGAGTCACTCCCAACTCTAGGGAGCCCTGGTTTCCAATGGGAGGAGCTCCTGTCTCTCTGGCTGTGAAATGTTAACTTTATCCCTTTTGGGATGCAGAAATATGTCTCTGTATTTGTGGGGGGTGAAGGGGAGTGAGGCTTTTTGTTTGTTTGTTTGTTTGTTTGTTTTCCCTCTGTTTCAAACTGCTTACTGCTTGAATGTTCTACCACAAATGAAGGACACAAGTACCTGTGGAATACATCTAATATACTCAGTCTGGCAATCTCAGGGATGCTGCTGTCCCTGCTCTGTACTCAGTGCCTTCCTTGCTGACTGTAGAAACTCCCAAATTATCCTGCAATGCCTGTAGAAAATTCCAGTGTATGCTAGTGGGGAAGAAAAGAAGCTCAGCTGAGGGTTTTCCTAATCCCTTGGCTTTTCTGTGTGCTTGGGAATGCTGATGTGCATGGGAAGGAAGGGTTCTTGCAGTGTGTGTTTTCCCTTGGGAAGCCAAGGAGGAAAAGAAAGATGTTTTCCTGCCCATGCACTCCCACACCTTTCCATGCTGCTGGGATTATGGCACAGAAGATTAAGGTGGTGTCCTCAGGGCTGTTCCACAGGGGTTAGTTATTTCTGTACATGGCAAGGGGAAGGCTCTGCCCTCGTGCCACCTTCCCCTTTATCCCATCCTGCTCCCAGCTGTGCATGGTGGAGCTCAGGGGAGACTTCCCTTATTTTTCTGTCCTTTTTGGGTTCAGCAGGGCAGGAGCACTCCCATCCATTCACTGCTGGTCACAGGGGAATGTTCCCATTTCACCAGCCCCAGAGCTCCCCAGGTAAACACAGAGCTCCCCTCCTTCCAGCACAGAGGCCGCGTTAGGAGCTGGGGATCCCAGAGCAGCCTCTGGGTGTCCTCTGGGCTCCATCCCTGCCCAGGGAGCCCTGCAGACAGGGACAGCTTCCCCAGGAAGCTCCCTGGCTCTCCAGGCAGCAAAGAGATCCTAGGGCACATTAATGATTGATGGGAAGAGGAGAGGAGCGAGGTGCTCGCAGCCTCCTTCCCCTGCTCTCGTAGCACAGGCTTTGTGTGAAGGTAAGTGGGGGGAATCCCACCAAAAGCTGGCCTTGGGCCCTTCTGCCTTTGCCAGGCAGGTGGCAGGGGGCTGTGTGGCACAGGAGGCACTGGAATGTGTCCTTCCTCCTCCTCCTCCTGGTGTCTGTAGCTTCCTCTGTCCCTTCCCCCAGCCCAGCATGTGTGCACGTGGGTGTGTGTGTTTCCTTAGGAGTGCTGCTTTTGCTTCTTAATCTGCAAAAGCCTCCGAGCTGTGGTGGTGCTGAAGGATTTGGAGGTGCAGCAGGAGCCCTCCCTTTTTCTGAGAAACTTGTCTTCTGTATATCCTAAAGGCCTGATAATGCAGAGCTTTCTTTTCCGTCGCTGTTGTCAAAGCAATGATTCCATTATATAGAATAAGGAAAGATGAGTGTCTGTTCTGGTAAAATAGTGGAAACGCTTCTCCAAGGCAGGCTGAGGTGTCAGTGGTGTGGGATAGCTGCTGCTCTCTGGACTCACTCCCTATCTAATTTCACCTCTTATCTCTTGGGTGACATCTCAGTGAAGGGTGGTGAGCAAGGCGCTTTCCAGGTGCAGCCCTTGTCCTTAAGCCAGGCAGCTGGCCCTGGCCTGAGGTTTTCTACAACTTGTTTTTGCTCTGGGGTGGACTTCTGCCTTTCCTTTCTGTCCCCATTCCATGTAGGAGCCCAGGAGAGGAGAGAGCTGGGAGGGAGAAGAGTGGGGGAAAGGACAGCCTGCTCTCTGCCACCTTTTCTGGCTTATTTCATCTAGCACCGAATTTCAGGCTGTTTGTAAAACGGGGGGGCATGCCCCTCTGCCAGCCTCTATTCAACAGAACAGCAGAAACATTTCACACCAGAGTAATTTCTTCAGTGGTTACGTGCCCTGGTGGTGACCTGATTGTTTTGGTCTTTTCAATATTGAGGATCCAAGGGGGCACCCAGAAAACTGAGTATATGAATTGCAGGTTGTAGATGATGTTGCAGGTTGCCAAAGGCTAAAACAGGTGCTGTACCGAATCTCAAAATCAGTCTTTGTGTATTTTCTTTTCCTATTGTGGTCCTTTGAATGTACCTGGGGACGTGTTGTGAGAAGTGTCAGCATTAAAATTGCTGCAGGACACTGTTTTCTCCCTGTTCCTAATTGCAGACCTGTGCCTGTAAAGGCCAATTACCTGGCAGCAGTGCTGCTTGGGGAGCGTGGTCGGTGGGCTCTGTGTGTGCACGCCCGTGCCTCTTGGAGGGATTTTTTTTCCAAGAAAAGTAGGTCGGCTGCTCTCTGCAGCATTACTCGAGACCAGCATAAGTCTCCAAACCTTCAGTGTGCTGCAGTAGACGTGACAGGATTAAAAGGGGGATTTGCGGGGTCGCTTTCCCAGCGGCAGAACCGGCTCTTCCAAGTTCCTTTCATTCCGTGCTGTGTCCCTTGCGCTGCTTGGTATTCCCGAGCCGTGCGGCTGGCAGGCAGCGGGCCGTGCCGAGCCGCCGGCAGCGCACCGCTATTCCCGATATTCCCGCTATTCCCCGGCTGCCCTCGCTGCATCCCAGCCCCTCTGCCGGAGCTGCCTCCCCAGCAGCGCCCGGCTCTGGCCTGGCCCGGCTCGGACCCCGCGGACGCGGTGAGCGGATGGCGCGGGAGGGAACCGGGGCTGCCGGGGCCGCCTGGGCGCTGCCCTGCCCGCTCACACCGGGAGGGACAGCCCGGGGTGCCTGGGAGGGGCAGGAGCAGCCCGGGGTGCCTGGGAGGAGCCGGAGCATCTCGGGGTGCCTGGGAGGGGCGGAGAGCAGCCCGGGGTGCCTGGGAGGAGCGGGAGCATCTCGGGGTGACTGGGAGGAGCGGGAGCATATCGGGGTGCCTGGGAGGGGCAGGAGAACAGCTCGGGGTGCCTGGGAGGAGCCGGGAGCAGCCCGGGGTGCCTGGGAGGGGCAGGAGCAGCCCGGGGTGCCTGGGAGGAGCCGGAGCAGCCCGGGAGGAGCGGGAGAGCCGCCGGGGATGTGCGGCCCCGGGGGCGCGCTGCCCGCCCGGTGACAGCCCCGCTGCCTCTCCGCGATGTCGGCGCTGCGGAGGGGGAGCCGAAGGGTGCGGAGCGAGAGCGCCGGCAGGGACGGGGACTCCCTGTTCCGAATGCTGTACCTGGTGAGCGGCTCCGAGGGGATGGGCTCGGCAGCGGTGCCCGGGGCATTGTCGTGCGGTTGGTCGCTCCCTGCAGAGGCTGCTGGCTGCCGTGCGCGGCGCTGGCAGCGCTGCTGGAAGGATGCGGTTCGGTGGGCTTTGTTCGGGCGGGCACTGCTGCTCCGGGGGTGCACCAGGGTGCACTGCTGATGCCCCGGAACCTGGGTGTCTCTGCAGGGCAAACACGGGAGGAAATGGCTTTCAGCGCTACCTCTGCGGGCAGCAGCCCCTGGTTGTGGCTGTCCTTGATCCTCCTCCGTGGGAAGGATGGGAGCTTGGCTCCTCTGCTGAGCCCCTTCCCGAGGAGGGGTTAATGTCTGTGAACTCCACTTTCCAGTTGTGGCAGCCTTCAGACTCATTTTCAGCTTTTTGAAGGGATTGCCTGCAGGATTGTGCCTAAAGTGTGATGCCGTAATTCCCCACGAGAAATCCTGGTTTAGTGCTGTCATTGTCACTGCTGGCAGAGCTGGTGCAGGGAGATAAAAGGATGTTTCTCTTCCAGACCTTCCCTGCTTATCCACTTTCTCTGGGAAAATGGGGACAGAGAGGTTTTTGTGAAATCTGCTTGAGAGTTTTCACCAAAATAGCTGTGCCCCGAAGCCCCCGTGTGCAGTGTGTGCCTGCTTTGTGTCTGGAAATGGATTTTTTAAAGGGAATACTGGGTAGACAGCATTGTGCTCAGGGATGAAGCACAGCAGTTGTTGCAGGTGGAGTCATGCATTTCAGTTCTAGGAGAGAAACCACAATATTTTTATTGGTATGGGCTGATGAGGTAACCAAGTTTGCTGGTCAATATGATGGTGGTTTAACAAGGCTTGGTGGTGAGGCTCACTTGGTTGTTTACTGCAGCCTCCCACTGAGGGATGAGGGTCAGAAAGGACCCTCTGAGTTGCTAAATTAGAGGGGTTTAGGTGCAGCTGGATCTGCTCCAGTCCCAGGCTTGGTCAGTGGTTTATGTCTGAAGGATTATACACGCACAGCCAATGCCTTACATCCCTTGCTGAGATACAAAGTTCAGCACGTCCTGCTCACTTGCCAGGGCTCTGCGGTGGCCAGGAGCCCCCAGGCTTGAGGAGACCCCTTCCCACTCAGGTGTGCTCACACAGTTTGGTCAGTGGAGCAGCAGGAGCACAGGTTTGTGGATGTGACTGTGCTGGCGGTGTGGGGTGTGTGGGCAGGGCGGTGCTGGCCGTGGCTGCAGCCCTCCAGCGGTTTATTGAGCGTGCACAAGTGGAGATAAGGCTTTGGGAAGTCCTCCACACTTCCTTCCTGCCATATGGGTGTCTCTGCTCCTGCTGGGGCACAGCACACGCCTCGGGGAGTTATTTCAGCTTCAGTGCTGAGCTGGTGTTTCACGCCCCGAGCGGATTTTCGCTCTCTCTTTCTGGGTGACCCATCTTTCCCTGCAGGAGCCTGCACAGGATGGGGGGATCTGCAGAGGGGCAGGCAGGAACCACTTAAACACTGGGTTTATTTTGGTGTTTGATTCCAGATTGTGCTCTATTCATTAGAACTGGATTTATTTGTACATTTGGATATTAAAGTAAAACACCACTGGACACGTGTGCCTCAAGGAGTGCTAGCAAAGCCAAACATTGCTGAGCAAAAGCCTGCCTGTGCTGGGTCTCTGCAGGCTCAGATGGTCGCATCTGAGCTGTCAGCTCTCTGTGCCTTCCAGCAGAGCAGGGGGCTTGGGAAGGTGTTTTAACCTGGGCTGCAGCCAGGCTTTCACCCACTGCCCTTGCTGGGTTTGGGGCTGTTGGGCTCAAGGTCACACCTGCTGAAATCTGATGCAGATCTAATCCAAAAGTTTGGGTGGGCTTTATACTTAGAAGCACCTTAAGTATAGGTGGAACCTTGCTGAGAAACAACAGAAATTACTGACTAATTAAGATTAATAAATCTCAAATCTCAGTGACACATGCCAGGAGCAGAGTGAGCTGGAGGTGGACTGGTCCAACTCACTGCTTCCTCCTGCCTTCAACTTGCCATGTCTTTCCTTTCTTCCACATCTGAGTTAAACCTCAGACACTGAAGGTGAATGTTTTCCCTGGGATGAAGCGTGTCCAAAAGGCATTTTTGTATAGACAGCCAGTTACAATGAGTTCCTGGCTTACCCGAGTGTCCTGAAGAAAATGATCCTTTGTGTAATGAGCATCTTTGCTCGTGTGCAGTGGCAGCTCAGGGGAGCATTTGCAGCCCCAAGAGACCTCTAAGGGAAGGGGGTGGAAATCTTCCTTGTCCTGACATGGATTGTAGGTGCATGGAGAGGAAATAGCTCTGTGTGAGCAGACTGCATGGCTTAAAAAACATGGAGATCACAACTACCAGTGGGTGGGGGTGAAGTGATGTCCCAGGGGCAGAGCTTTGTCTCCAAACTGAAGGTGAAGATATGCGCTTTTATTTTTTTTCTCTCTCTCTCTTTCTCTTTTTAAAATATTTTTGTTAGTTTTTTTTCTCCTCTGCTCTCTTTGCATTTCTGATAGAACAGGCTGATTTTGGGTCAGTTGTTCCACAGAATTACAGAATTAGCCATGTTGGAGAACACCTCTGAGACCATGGAGTCCAAACTGTGCCAAATTCCCACCTTGTCACCCAGCCCAGAGCTCTGAGTGCCACACCCAGGAATTCCTTGGGCACCTCCAGGGATGGGCACTCCAAACCTGCCTGGGAGCCCCTACCACCCTTTCCATGGGGAAATTCCTGAACTGGGGGGCTGTGGAGGCAGAGCTGGGGAATCACTGAGCCTGGCTGGAGGTCCTGTGGCAGGATGATCAGCTGTGGTCCCTGGAGCAGCTCTTTCCCTCCAGGTCTCCGGGAGGGATGGGGCCAACCCACGGCTGCCTTGGCAATCCTGGAAGCCTGGGGATGTCACTGACACCACAGACTATTCCTGCTCCAAACTCTTCAGTGAAATGAAAGATGGGAGGAAATGATCTAACACGAGGGGGTGAAGTGAGGATAACTGGCTTTTTATATAGGCAGCTGATTAAATATTAAAGGAAGCAGGGAGGTGGAGCAGCTCTGGGAAATGGCACTGAGGGGAAGAAGTTCACCCTGCCAGGCACGTTTCCAGACACAGCCTAGGGACACAGCTGCTTGCCCAGAGAGCTTCTGCCTGGAGCCTGGAGAGGCTTTAGCTGGGAGGCTGTGCTTCCCCACAGCCCAGCCTGAGTGGTTTCTGAGCAGAACTGTTCCCAGCACTGCTGCAGCCCCGGCTGGGGAACTGCCCGGGGCTGGGGTGTGAGTTTTGTTTGCACAGGCATTTTTGGTTCCCAATTCTTGGGCCTCTCTGTGAGTTTGTCAATCTTAAGTGCTGAGTGAGCCTGTTTTAATTAAAATTCACATGTGTCTGAGTCCAGGAATGGAGTTGAACAGCACTTCAGTTAATTAAAGGAGTTCTGCAACTCCTTTTTTTTTCTTTATCCTCAGTCATAGAGAGACACAGTAGACACTTGTGGTGCCTGTTGAGTCAACTGCTGAGCTGCAAACCCTCCTCAGCCCCTTTGTTCCTCTGGCTTTTACTTCCAATATTACCACTGCTCTTTCCTCTCCCTTCTCTCCAAAGAGCACAGAGCAGGTCGCAGCTTTCTGTCGCAGCCTGCATGAAATGAACCCCTCTGACTGCAGTGCTCCCCCCCAGGACTGTGCAGGGCCCCAGCTGAGCACCATGAGGCAGCTCACGGACGCAGACAAGCTGAGGAAGGTCATCTGTGAGCTCCTGGAGACCGAGCGCACCTACGTCAAGGTGAGGGCTTCAGCCTCAGCTCTCCTGCTCTCCGGCTGGGCTTCACATCTGCAGCTCTTGGGGAACTTGCATCCAGTTCTATGATAGAAATGTATTTTGTATATAAAGTATATTGCTCCTAAAATGTAACTCAAACCACGGAGATAAGGCATTTCCAAGGGCTCGGCTCTCAGGCTTAGCTGGTGTGCGGTCACTGCTTGCTGAGGTCTGCTTTTGTAGCCAGAAGTGTGTGAATGTTGCCTTTTCCTGTCTTACATTGTGTGAAATCCAGCTGTTTCGTGTTGTGTGTAAAAAGGGAAAGTCCTCAGGTCAGGTGAGCATCATTTGCCACCTCAGTAAATATCCAGAGGCAGTCTGAGGGACCAACGTGGGAATCTTTCTCTGAATTTTTAGGATTTAAATTGTCTGATGGAGAGATACCTGAAGCCTCTACAGAAAGAAACCTTCCTCACACCAGATGAGGTATGTTGACCCTTGTTTGTCTGAAATCAATTTCACTGAATTCCATTTCTTTCAATAATGGATTGAGTGGAGCATCAAGGTGCTGCTCAGTAATGGCTGCAGCTTGTTTTTCCTGACATCACATTGTTTTACAATTGCACTGAGAATTGCTGCAGTTCTAGAAAACACAGTTTAGCCTCAAAGTGATATTTTCAGCATTCTGCTTTTTTTCTCCTTTTATTAGCTGGATGTTCTCTTTGGGAACCTGACTGAAATGGTAGCATTCCAGGTAGAGTTCCTGAAAACTCTGGAGGATGGAGTAAGGCTGGTTCCAGACCTGGAAAAGCTTGAAAAAGTTGAGCAATTTAAGGTAATAATTGTTCACTGCTATATATTAAAACCACATTATTTGCATTATCTCATTGTTTAGATTTTGAGGAAACCTTTAACACTCTGCATCATATTTTCCTGGCTATTGCCACAGTTCATGTAAAAACCTGCATCTTCTTCTATTTAAGATTAATTTTCAACTGATGCTGGTGCTGCTGAAAAATCATCCTGCTGCAATTGTAGTTTATGCTACATTTAGCCATATAGAGCACTAGAAACCATGTGCTTTTTGGTTCTATTCTTGCCCTTCTGCCAGATTTCTTGCCTTCAGCTGTCAGGAAACGCTAGAAATGGAAAGTTACATAAAATCCTTGTCCTGACAAGTCTCATGTTCAGAAGCCTTCTGGGGCTACAGAGAAGAGCAATACATGGAATTTTGTATTTCCTCTTTCAGTGCATGGTGGAAAACACTTCTGCCTTTCAGCAGGTGTGCATCTCCACAGGTAGAAATGGCAACTGCAGCTCTGTGAACTTCATTTAAAACGCAGGGAGATGTGGAGCCAGATTTCATTTTGTGTCTAACGCAGTGGTACTTGTGGTGGAGGCACGGCAAGGAGATGATGGAATGTTTTTCCTTTGGGGAATTCTGGCTCTGAGCACCACTCACCTTGGTAAAGGACAGGATGAGTAGTAATAATATTATTATTAGCTCTGGCCCCTGCATGCTCTGAGCTGTAAGAGAGGAGTGCCAGTGAAGGTCCTTCCAGAGAAAACTCCATCTCCTGAGTGCTGCTGCTCCCAGCTCTTCCCACAAACCTGCACCGAGCTCGCTTTCAGTTCTGCCCTGGGCCCTGTCTGAAAGCAGCTGGGTGTGAATCAAGTGTGGGCTTCTGTGCTTTCAGTTCTGCAGTTGGCTTCCCCTCTCCCCCTCACTGTCCCCAGCTGCCCACGTGTGCTCCCAGCCCTCAGCAGGGGCTGTCTGATTCCCAGGATGTTTTGGGATTGTGGTTGACCCTGAACACCACCTCATTTCCAGGTGAACCCCTGGGTGTGTTTGTGAGGGATGAGTGTTGCCTGCAGCTCCTCAGTGCCCTGGTCCACTGCAGGGTCAGACATATCCAGTCCTCCTGTGGCCTCTGGCCATTGCTGAGGTTTTAGGTGCAGTCAGTGCTGCCTCCAGGCTGGGGCTTGGCTGATGGTGCTGATTACAGAGGCTGGATCCACACACCAGGGCTGGGCCTGTTTCCTGGTGGGTGAATCGTGGAGTCACAGAATGGTTTGGGTGGCAGGAACCTGCAAGATCCCCTGGTTCCTTCCACCCCTTCCACTGCCCCAGGCTGCTCCAAACCCTGTCCAACCTGGCCTTGGGCACTGCCAGGGATCCAGGGGCAGCCCCAGCTGCTCTGGGCACCCTGTGCCAGGGCATCCCCACCCTTACAAGGCAGAATTCCTTCCTAAACCTACTGTTCTTTTAGTTTGAAACCATTCCTCCTTGCCCTGTCACTCCAGCCCCTTGTACAGAGTCTCTCTCCATCTTCCTTGCTGGCTCACTTCAGGCACTGGAAGGCCACAGTGAGGTCACCCCAAAGCTTCTCTTTTGCAGGCTGAACAATCCCAATTCTCTCAGCCTTTCCTCCCAGCAGAGCTGCTCCATCCCTCTGATCATCCTGGTGCCTCCCCTGGGCTCACTCCAGCAGTGATGTCTTGGTGTGCAAGCACACTACAACTGCATTCTCCTGTCCTCCAAAAGCTGCATGGAAGCTTCAGATGACCTGGCTGAAGGCAAAGTAACTAAATGCCTTTTTACTAATTTATTTTTTTTCTTTTAATCCCAGAAAGTGTTGTTCTCCCTGGGTGGATCCTTCCTGTACTATGCTGACAGGTTCAAGCTGTACAGTGCCTTCTGTGCCAGCCACACAAAAGTCCCCAAAGTCCTGGTGAAAGGTAAGAGCCCCTTTCAGAGTTGCTGTGGGAAGTGGGTTTGTAGAGAATTCTCAAACCTGAGAGAAGGCTCACATAGTATACATGTGTCTGTAAACTTTGAGATAAGAAATGCTGACTTAGAAATGCCATGGAATGGGACAGACTTTGTTGAGAGAGAAATGGAGCTAGAAATGAGCTTTAAAGGATGAGTTTGTAAATAAGACTGGATATTTCAGAGAAAAAGAACTATGAAAGATGCATTGTAGTAGGACTCACGAGGAGTAATTTTAGATAATTGGCTTTAAAGTATTTACAGTGTGGTGTGACAAAAGCTGATAGGACAAGAAACACGTGTATTGTAATTAGGAAATAGGTGGTTTCGGATTGTGATGGCCTGAATTATAACATGTGTATTGTCTCACCTTCACGTGAGACTGAACATGGAATCAAAGATTTTAAAAGGCCTCTCAGCTGCCCTGTCTCTGGGTCAGAAAAGGGCTTAATCCAACAAGTTGTCACAGCCACATGCTGGTTTTGGTCACTGCACCCCAAAGCTCTGAGGGCAGGACTGGGGGCACACCCGTGCCTGGCTGCTCTCCAGCAGCCTTTGGAGCAGGGAGTTCAGTCTGGAGAGGCTCCTGGAGGGCTCTGTGCTGTGGGAGCACCCCATGGTGACACCTGAGCAGCTCATTTCAAGAGCTGGCTCACCCTGCTTGCAGTTTTTCTCTCCCCACCCTTTGCTTGCTCTCCCTTGCTGCGTTGGGTTTGTTTCCAGTCACTGGGAAGGTTTCCTGAGCGGGAATCACATCGTGGCTCTGGCTGTGTGCTGAGGGGTCACTGTGTGCTCTGGAACCAGGAGTGCTGGCTCTGTAGTGACCTCTGCATCCTCCTGGAGGTTGTGCCAGGAATCCTCGCTGGTGTGGTGGAACACTGGCAGCCAGTGAGTGGATCAGCCTGGGAGAATGGAAGCTGGCAAAATATTTCAGCCCTCTCTCCTTCCTCTTGCCTTCACTCCAATCTGCCTGAGAAGTTTCCATGGCAGAATTCCTAGCAGAGCTTGGCTTGCTGGGTTGGAGATGAAAGCCCTGTGGTCTGGCTGCTGGGCCAGCTTGCCTCACAGGGATGTTTTCCCCTGTGGAAGTGTAAATCTCAGGGAGCTACCAGGGCTTCCTGCCATTCCTTTTTGGCCAAGACCTTAAACAAATGGTTCTAATTGTAGCAGCAATGCCATTGAGGGAGGAACTTTGGTTTTTCAAACAACATCTGCATGTCTGACAGTCAAAAATGTTGAGGTTTTTTCTTTCTTGGTTGGTTTGGGGTTGTTTTTTTTCTGTGTACTTTTCCTTTTTTCATTTCTGCTTGTAAACTTTTATTCCCTGTGCTGCAAAGAATACTTGGCAGCTCTGTGGAATACATAAATAAATTATTTGCTGCTAGTCACATCCATGCTTTCTTTTGGCATTATTTTATTGGACCCTAATGTTAAAGCTGTAAACCAGGTAGATCTGGTTATTTTGCTTTTCTTTTCCATTGTATTTATAAATGAGAAAGTGTTGTGCTTGAATTATGGCATAAACAGAACTTAAAATTCTGTTCCAGAGGTAAATCTCTTCGACAACCTGGGAGTGTATTTCAGGTGTCACTTGGGTGTCCTCAGCTGAGGTGCAGGTGGCTTTTGCATTTGAAACTCAAGTTACTTTATGTAAATCAGGTGACTGCCTGCAAAAAAACCCCAACCCCAGCAGGGGACATGACTCCAATAAAAGCAATTGTGTGGAATTGCTCCTGCACTGAATAATTTGTATGTCTATAAATACCACCTCCTCCTTCCTTCCATCCTTGTGCTCCAGTGGAGGGAGCAACAGAGAAAATGGCAATTTTGTAAATTCATAGCAGTCAAGTAGAAAAGATGATGGCAGTCAGGTGTCCAGTCTGCCTGTGCTCCCAAAATCTGGTGCATTAGCCTCAATTTCTGCTCCTGCCTCTCACCAGCTCCCGCGGTTGTTGTGACTCAGTGCTGCAGTTTGAGGTTTAATGAGGTAACAAGAACCAGACTTGCCAATATTGTGGGTGCACCATGGCTTAGAAGCAGTGACTTCTCACGAATGTCCAAAGTGAGACTTTGCTTAAAGGGAAGAGATGATTAAAACAGTTTGTGCTGCTCTAAAATAGCTGCCAGGCCAGAAGTACCTCCTGCTCCTCCTGAGAGGCAGCTCCGGGCTCTGCTCCCCGTGACCAGGGACAGGACCCAGGGAAGGGCTGGAGCTGTGCCAGGGCAGGTTTAGGTTGGATTTTAGGGAAAGGTTCTTCCCCAGAGGTGCTGGCACTGCCCAGGCTCCCCAGGGAATGGGCACAGCCCCACAGAGCTCCAGGAGCTCCCAGGGATGCCCAGGGTGGGATTGTTGGGGTGTCTGTGCAGGGCCAGGGGTTGCACTGGATAATCCTTGCGGGGCCCTTCCCACTCAGGAGATTCTATGATGGATAGTGCAATTAAAATTGCCCGTGCTGGAGGTGGATGCCTGCTGTGAAATCCTAAATAGCACATCCGGGGAGAGTGGCAGTGACTCAAATCCTGGAGGGCGTAAATCAAATTCTGCAGGCCCAATAAATCTGCACTTCCTCACACAATGTCTCCGGATAAACCAATTTAAACCTGGAAAAGTTGCTTTCTGAGGGCAGCAGTAATGGTTTGTCATTGCTCAATGGCTTCCTTTGAATCTGGCAGCCAAGACAGACACTGCTTTCAAGGCGTTCCTGGACGCCCAGAACCCACGCCGGCAGCACTCCTCCACCCTGGAGTCTTACCTCATCAAACCCATCCAGAGGATACTCAAATACCCCCTCCTGCTCAAGGAGCTCTTTGCTCTCACTGACGTGGACAGTGAAGAGCATTATCACCTTGATGGTAAGGACTTAACCCCGCTTTCCTCTGGCTCACCTTGTTCTTGAGCCTGCCCCCATCCCTTCCTCTCAGAGGGTGAAAACTCCCTTTTGCTCATCCCCTGTTTCTCTTCCAGTGGCCATCAAAACCATGAACAAAGTTGCCAGCCACATTAATGAAATGCAGAAAATCCATGAAGAATATGGGGCAGTGTTTGACCAACTCATAGCGGAGCAAACAGGGGAGAAAAAAGAGGTAACAATCAGATTTAGAGGGGAATGGGTTATTGTGGTGCCTGTTAAACTGGATCCAATATTTGCCTTTCCTGCTGTGCCACTGAAGTAAATCCTGATGCAAACAGATAAATCCCAGCTCAGCTGAAGACCTGAACTGAAGTGAATTCAGACTTCACTGAGTGGAGGGTGGAAGGATGGGATAACATCCCCTGAACTGGGATGCCCTCAGTTTGTCACTCTGGGCACCATAAGGACAAAGGTCTGGTTGCTGCACCTCCCAGCAGCTGGCAACTCCTTTCTTATTGTGTTCCCAGCAATGTGGTGTCCAAAGAGGAGCCCTGGGGCAAGGTCAAGAGCCACAGCAGCTGTGGGGAGGGGCTGCTTTGGCCACTGCACCTGATGCAGTCTCTAAACTTCACCCCAAACTGAATATGTGCTTAAATATTCCAGCAAAACACAAACAAACTGATAGGGAGAAAAATGGACAAAGGGGAACGAAAGGCAACAAAAAAGTCTGGTTTTGACCTTGAGTTCCAGAGTTTGACTTACCCTAATGTATGCTCATTAATTAAGGGTTGGCATGCATCTGTCTGCAGTCAGCTGATGAAATACTCCCAAAGTTTGCTGGGGGGAATTTTGTTCAGGACTGGATTTCATACAAGTTTCCTTGAGCTGCAAACTGCCGTCAGATTCCTTGAGCTGATCACAGCCCTTGTCTTTGTGCATGTGTTGGTGTTGGCAGGTGGCCGACCTTTCCATGGGGGACTTGCTCTTGCATAACACAGTGATATGGCTGAACCCTCCTGCTTCCCTGGGCAAGTGGAAGAAGGAACCTGAGCTGGCAGCCTTCGGTTTGTATCCCAGGACTTTCATTTCACATGCCTTGGAGACTGGCAGCTGTGCCTTGGCAGATGTGGAAAGTATCCGAGCATCGCCTTCCCAGGGCTGGCTGGAATTTAAATGTGGGCTTGTCTCTTTGCTGCAGGGCTCAGCTCTGCTCTCTGGTAGTTGTCCTGGCTCAGGTGAATGGTTTGTGTGCTTGGGAATAGAGGAGACCCATCCCAAGCCTTATGGATGCTCTTGAGGACAGGCTGTGGGAGCTGGGCCTGGTCCCTCTTGGCAGGGAAAGGCTGGGAGGGGATCAACCCACACACATATCCCACCAATCAATCCATACAAATATCCCATCAATGCACACAAATACCCCCAGGGCTGTCACAGGATGGTGCCACACTCTGCTCAGTGGTGCCAGTGCCAGGATGAGGATGTGGCCATGAACTGAAACACAACGAGTTCCACCTCAGCCTGAGGAAGAACTTCTGTCCATGGAGGGGGCAGAGCCCTGGAACAGCTGCCCAGGGAGGGCCTGGAGTCTCCATCTCTGGGGACATCCCAAAAACCCCAAATTCCTGTGTCACCTGCTCCAGGGACCCTGCCTTGATGGGGGGGTTGGACTGGGTGATCTCCAGAGGTCCCTTCCAACCCCAGCTGTCTTGGAATTCTGGGATTCTGTGACTCCATAGCTTTTGTCTCTAACTTTCTCCTCCAGTGTTCAAAACTGCCGTGGTCCTCGTGTACAAGGATGGTTCCAAACAGAAGAAGAAACTGGTAAGTGTGCAGGGACTGTTTGGGTGACACCGTGGGCATTTCTGGGGCTGTGGTGGAGTTCTGCTTCCCACAAAGCCATGGAGCTGGAATGTGCTCTGGCATGTGTGGTCCCTGGTGTCTGAGGAGCTGGGTGGGCACAGCAAGCATTGCTTTACTCTTTGTTGCCACGCTTGTCACATCCATTCCCTGCTGTGGGATTGCCCTGGATGAAGATGTCACTGTGTCTCTTGGCTTAGATTCTTTGGTCAGTGTGAGTGTCTGCAAGCTAATTAATGTCTGTCACCTCACACAGTGCCCTGGCTGTTGTGTGCCACCAAGCAAGTGCTGGCTGCTCTCAGCTACATCAGGAGTGGCTCAGGGATCCCACTGGAGTTTGGGATTCCAAGTTAAAGCTGGGCTTGGCAGTGCTACCACGGGGGCACAGTCTGTAGTGATACAGGGAAACTGGTGATCCCTGCTCGTGGCATAAAGCAGAGAGGGGTTGGAGGTGCCAGCGTGGGGAAGGGCAGCTGGCACGGGGTGACTTCAGAGAGAAAAGCAGAACTCTGATGTATTCCTGAGTGTGTGTGAAAGCAGGGCTGGGAGAAAAGCAGAACTCTGATGTATTCCCGAGTGTGTGTGTGTGCACCCAGGGCTGGGAGAAAAGCAGAACTCTGATGTATTCCCGAGTTTGTGTGCACCCAGGGCTGGGCTGGATGACTCTGGAGAGCCTTGCTGGGAGCTGATGTGCCTTAGGGCTGCTTTAGTCCAGATTCCAGCAAGGTCCCCACAGAGAGGCCCCCGAGGGAGGTGTGGGGTGGGAAAAGCAGGATTGCAGCAGGTCTGTAGCTGGGAGCCCTCAGCACAGAGCACAGCACTGTCTGCCTGCCCCAGGGCGTCTCCTTTCCTGACGGTGTTTGAATCCTTGCAGGGAGGATCCCACCGAGCCTCCATTTATGAAGACTGGGATCCGTTCCGGTTCCGCCACATGATCCCTCTGGAAGCGCTGCAGGTGCGGGCGCTGGCCAGCGCAGGTAATGTCCCCCCGCCGCAGTCTGCCAGGCCTGCAGCGTGCCCTGGGCACCTCACTGGGCACTAAATGCAGCTGCAGTAAATGCTCTGCAGTTACCTGTGAAGGCAGACATCAAGTTCTGCTTGGTTTCCCTCTAGATGCGGAGACCAATTCTGTGTGTGAGATTGTCCACGTCAAATCTGAGTCTGAGGGCAGGCCAGAAAGGACATTTCATCTCTGCTGTAGGTAAGTGGGATTCCCTGTTTTCTGTTTTTTCCTTCACAGCTGCATCTCTGCACCCCTGCTTGCCTGTGTGTGTCCTTCGAGGCAATCTGGGAACAGCCAGTTAGGGAGAGTGGGGAGAGGGTGTTCAAACCTAACTTCTGGAAGGTAGAATTTTGTACAGCCTCTGAAAATAACTTGATCAGCTTTGCACCTTTATGGGAAAAGCTTTATTGCTATTTTCCAGTTAAACTGCAGCATTTAGATCTTTATGGCAGGTGTTGTGTTCATCTGGGTCCTTTCATGGCACCAGGTCCCAGCCTCTGCACCCAAATGAACATCCATTGTTGTGGTGGTGGTGTTTTTAGGGTTCAAGGAAGAACTTGGAACACAAGTTCATGAGTATCCAACAGAGCTGGTGCCAAGCCAATTCCTGCTTCTAGGAAGAGCTGCAGGAGCTGTGCAGCTGTGGGGTGTGTTTGCAGGGACAGATGGACTGAGCACCACAGGTCACTGGATGTGTGCTGCACACTGCCACGTGTGGGTGGCACTGCAGGGAAAGGAAACCTCGAGAGGGCTGAAAGGCTGAGTGTTTTATTAATGACCTGGCTGTTGGTTTCCTTGGATGCCCACTGCAGTGACCATGGATTTAGCTTTGCTTTGAAAATACTGAGTTCAGGGGAGTGTTCTTCGGGGAAGCACCTGCCAGTCAATTTGCAGTGTCTTAAATAACAGAATTGGCCATTATTTGCCTCATGTACAGCCAGCTTTTAGCAGTTCCCAAGGGGTAACTCTGCCTTTTGTATTTCCACCTCTTTTTCAGCTCTCCAGAGCACAGGAAGGACTTTCTGAAGGCAGTGCACTCCATCCTGCGGGACAAACACAGAAGACAGCTCCTTAAAACCGAAAGTTTGCCCTCCTCCCAGCAATATGTTCCTTTTGGTGGAAAAAGATTGTGTGCTCTAAAAGGTGCAAGGCCAGCCATGAACAGGGCAGGTACTGTAGGGCTACAGACTTTCAAGATCCCAGTAACCCCAGCAGCGCTGTAGGACACACCGTGGTGTCTGTCACTTGTATGTTAGGATTAGCATTCTCTCCTGTGTGTGTAAAAACTGCTGGTTTTCCATGCTTCACTTCCTTGAGAGCCTTAAATTGCCTCTATTTACCTTGCTTTGCACTCGAGGCTCAGCTTCAGAGCAGTGCTTGTGGCCTGGAAGGGAGATGGGATTCCTGGCAGTACCGATTGGCTGTGCACTCTGGCTCTGAAGTGGGGCTCAGCTGAACAGAGCAGAAGCTGTGTGATCCTCAAAAGCATGTACAGAATTTTGAGATAACCCGAGCACTTTGGAACTAAAATGCACGAGGAAAAACAGCTCCCCTGAGCTTGTTTGAAGGGGCAGCCGTGGGTGTCCTCCACCTGAGCCTTTCCAGCTCAACTGCTAAAGGGCACGTGCTCCTCCTTCCCACATTTGGAGAAGCATGCACTTGGTACTCCTATTTTTGTAATGGCCTGTCCTAAACCATGGATTTTCCTTTGCAGTTGACTTCAGGGAAAAGCAGGTTTTCATTTTCAGAACTCTAGATGCTGGAGGGAAGAAACTTTGCTTCCAACCCCAGAGTACACGGCAGCGCTGCGTGTTTTGTTCTGGTCTGTTGTTTGTTCTTGTTCTGCTCAGTAGATCCAGCACTGTAGACAGCCAGGCTTTCTGCTCCTCCTCTGACCAGGGCAGGCCAGACCAGCACCAGCTGAGCCCAGCTTCTCAGTCAGGGTGCTGCTGGAGATGCCAGACCTCTTCAGTTTGGCTCCGTGGGGCATTTGTGTGATGAATTCTGCAGGGATTAAAATCCCACCTTGGAGTCCAGACCTCTCCCTACAGATAAAATTTGCAGCTGCTGAGCAATTGTAATTAATGCAGCTTGTGAGGCTCAGGGATGTTGAAATGTGACCTCAAGCCCAGGGCAGAGCTGGATAAACTCATCCTGCAGTGCTGAGGTGCTGCTCAGTGCAGGGGAACTAACTCCAACCTCAGAGCTCTGTGTGTGCCCCTGAGGCACCGTGGTGCCTGCAGGATTTGCCCCTGCTTGGGAAGATGTTCTGGCACAGAGAATGGGAATTTGCTAATTGGGTCAGTTGCTGAGTAGATGCTGAGGAAGGAACTTCTGACAGCTCATCTGGGTTGGGGGATTGGTTTTGTCCTTGTCCAGTAAGGAGGAAATGAGGAAGAGAGCAGCAGAGCCTGGACAGGGAACGTAATTCCCTGTAAATAATACAGCATCTTCAGCACTGAGGTATCCCCTGGGAAAGCTGTAGGAAAGCTGCTCTGAGCCCAAATGTCCCCCTGCAAGGTGTGAAGCTGCTGGATTTTATGGTGTGCTGGCAGCAGGGGCTGCGAGTGGGAAGCTGAGCTGAGCAGATGTCCTTGGTGCTGGCTGGCTGCCCGCTGCTCAGGAGGAGCAGTTGAGGGCCGTGCTCTGTGGCACGGTGGATCCAGAGCCGTGATCTGTGGCACGGTGGATCCAGAGCCATGATCTATGACATGGTGGATCCAGAGCCATGATTTGTGGCACGGTGGATCCAGAGCCGTGATCTGTGGCACGGTGGATCCAGAGCCATGATCTATGACATGGTGGATCCAGAGCCATGATCTATGACATGGTGGATCCAGAGCCGTGATCTGTGGCACGGTGGATCCAGAGCCGTGATCTATGACATGGTGGATCCAGAGCCATGATCTATGACATGGTGGATCCAGAGCCTGTGGTCTGTGGCAGGGTGGATCTGAGCAGCAGGAACTCCTCGTGTGGCCAGAGGCCTCGAGCCGAGGAGCCGTGGCCGCAGGGAGATGGGAGTGACCGGGCCCTGCCCGCCCGGTGCCCGGCGTGCCAGACAGGACTTAGCTTTATCCCAGGGTTGTGCCGTGTGTGTGTAAAACACCTGTGGGGTTTTATCTTTGTGTGTGCAGTGTCAGCCCCGAGCAAGTCTCTGGGGAGGAGGAGGCGGCGGCTGGCCCGAAACAGGTTTACCATTGACTCGGAGGCCGTCCACGGCAGCAGCCCCGAGAAAGAGCCCGCGCAGGGAGGGGACACTGACCGCTGGGTCGAGGAGCAGTTCGACCTGGCGCAGTACGAGGAGCAGGAGGACATCAAGGAGACCGACATCCTGAGCGACGACGACGACTTCTGCGAGGCGGCGCGCGGGGCGCAGCGCGAGCTGCGGGAGCGGCTGCAGGCCGCGTCCCTGGCGGGCGGCCGGCGGCCCGAGCGGCCCTGCCCGCCCGGCGACGCGCACGCCGCCAGGATGGCCCAGCTGAGGAAGCAGGCGGCCCTGCCCGCCATCAACGGCGAGGCCCACGGCGAGGAGGTCATCTGGGTGCGGCGGGAGGACTTTGTGCCCGGCGGGAAGCTCAACACCGAGCTCTGAGGCGGCCCCGGCCCCGGCGGTGTCCCCGAAGGCCTCGGTCCCCCCGTGACCCCGCGGATTGCACACTTGCACACACCGTTGCGGCAGCTCAGCCGGTCCCAAGCCGTGCGGCCACGCTTCAGGCAAATGTCGAACGCTCAAAAACCGGGAACCGAACGAGCTTGAGGTCCTGCCTTGCGTTAACCAAGGGCTTTCACACTATTTTATTTATTCTAAAACAATCAGGGGCTGAAATTGAGCACGGGGAGAAGGTAATCACTGGAAAACAAATTACTCTGGGTGTCTTAACCTCTGTGCGGCGATGGGCTCCGGCAGGAGCGCGAGGACAGAGGGGTTGGTGGCCGTGAAAGCCGGCGGTCGTAGGCTCGTCTCCTTCACGAGGAAACTGCCTTTTTAACCTGTACAGTCGCAGTGTTCTGACTCCCTTTCCCTCTCTAAATGTAAGAGAATATCCATGTATTTTAGGAACGTGTGAGGAAAGGTTTGGGATTTATGTCGTGTTCAGTCCTCTTGGTCTGTGGCTGGTCTAATTTAATGTCAATGTTGGAAGCTCTAGTTTTACATACTCTTGTAAAGATGCCAAACTCTCTTGAAAGAGATCCAAATTTAACACTTGAAGAAATATTTTTTTGTATTTTACCTGAGATGCAGGGGCACAGAGGGGTAAGAGATTTAGGGTAGCTCCACGTCTAGGATACGAGGCTAGCTTTTTGCAGAGGGTTAGGAACGGTGGTTTTATATTAAAATATGAACTGGAAACTCTTATTTAGGTATAACTTTCTTCAGGAAAAGGTTTATTGTATATGTTTGAGACTGGAGTTTAGTTAGGTAATAAAAAGAATAATAAATAAAATGACATGACTGAATTGCAGTGGAGCAAAGGGATCTGTGGTGTGCCCTTGCTGGAGCCACAGATCCCTTTGCCCCTCTCTCTCTGGCAGAGTTTGGGCTTAGGGGACAAGGAATTCATGGCCAAAAAACTGACCTTGCCCACTCTCCTACCGTGGGTGAAACTAGTGTATTTTAATTCCTTTGTAAAAGCTTTTCCACTGCAATAGAGGACGAAAAAGTTCTACACAGGTAAACTTCTTTAACATTTTAAATCTTTCATTTAAACATCTAAAACAGGGTAAAATGTGACTAAAATCTCGTGGTTTTTAAGTAGACTTCCAGATACGAAACACAAAATAGCACTTTTTTTTTTTTTTAAAGGATTTATATAGCTTTCCCCATTGCAGTCTCACCTATAGGAAGAAAAAAAAAAAAGGAAGATTATATGAAATTTTGTTTCGTTTTGTTGGTATCTATTGATGTTTGACACATCACTGGGTACTTTGAGAACCTGAAATTTTATAATAGCCTTAGGATTATATTTTATAAAATCCACTCTGACTATATTTTAAAACATAACAAAAATTATCCCCTCCCCCCAAAACATCCATCACTGTCTGTGTGTCCCAGCTGGCATCCTCCCCTCCCCTCCCTCCCTCCCTCCCCTGGTTTCTGGTGCACTATACTTGACTTATGAAAGCTTTCTCTAGTAACTTTTTTGCTATCTCCTGGTTTCTTTTCGTAAGAGCTTTAGAGGAGTTTCTACCCCCTTTGTATGATCACATGGTTGTTTTTGTACCATCACCTGTCGGTGTCCCACGTGCTGGAGGGTTTGGCTGTCCTGGGCTGCTCCCAGAGCATGCAGCCAGCACTCAAATACTGGAAGGCTGGTACTGGGAAGGTACCGTGGCTCTTGTACATAACGTCATGACATGTCTATGTCAAAGGTTCTTATATATTTCTTTTATAAGCTGAAAGAAGGTCTATTTTTATGTTTTTAGTTCTATGAATGGAACGTTGTAAATGCCTGTCGGAAATAAAATACTGGAGGAAAAAAAAAAAACAAACAAAACAAAAAACTGCAGAGAGTGGTGTGTGGAGGCCACGGGTGATGTGGAGCCTGTCACAGGAGGGCTGTGAGGTGGGAAGGGTGATGCCAGGGAGCAGGTCCTGCATTCCCAGCTGGGGCAGCTCGGGAAGGAGCCCTCAGGTAAGGCTCTGGTGAGGGGACAACACACATTTCCCTGATGGCACCCATATCCAGCCATTCCTGCTGCTTTTCCACCTCGGGAAGGAGCCCTCAGGTAAGGTTTTGGTGAGGGGACAACACACATTTCCCTTATGGCACCCACATCCAGCCATTCCTGCTGCTTTTCCACCTCGGGAAGGAGCCCTCAGGTAAGGCTCTGCTCGTGTTTTGGTGAGGGGACAACACACATTTCCCTGATGGCACCCACATGCAGCCACTCCTGCTGCTTTTCCAGGCTGGTCACAAGGATCCTTCAAGTGAATGTTTCAAAAAATGCGATAAAAAGCAGCAAATTCCAGGAGAATTCCCATTGCTTTGGAGGAGCTCCCCAGTCTGTCCGTGGCCAGTTCCTTGGCCGGTCTCTCTCCCTCTGGGGTGCTGGCTTTGGCCCAGGCTGGGGGAGCGTGCTGGGGGTTGGTGTGGGCACAGCACTGGGAGAGCACGGGCACCCACAGACGGAGCTGGGGCGGCACTCTCTGGGGGATGACAAAAGTGACACAAGGGAAGTGGCATTAAAACGGGCTGGGGTGTGTGCAGCACTTCCTGCAGCAATGCAGTGTTTGCTGCTTCAGGCAGGATTGTTTTTGGCTTGTAAGGCTACCAGGCTATCCACACTCCTCAGGAAGTCGGGGAAATGGTGAGAAGAAGACAGAGTGAGGGCATCAAGAGGAAAGCAGCACACGAGTGGTGACAAGTGACACCGGGATGCCAGCTCCACAGCTGGAACGCTTTGGCTTTAAAGCTCTGTGCTGCCACCAGCCAGGAACAGAGGACCACAGAGGGAAAATCCTCCTGCAATTAATTCCCTGTGCAGTTTGGAGAGGTGAGCAGCAGTACCTTGTTTCTGTGCCAGGCCAGAGCCGGGTGTGCCCTGTGGCAGAGCTGTGCCAGATCCCCAGCTGGCAGGGTGCAGATGACCCCTCTGCCATCACACCTTGGCCCAGCAGCCAGGGGGGCTGCTTTGGGGAAAACACTGTTTGAAACAAAACAGCTAACCCAAGGAAACCATTAGAAATACCACGTTGAAAAATAAGGAGGGCTTGAAATTAATTAACGTTGCAGGAAACAGATCAAAGGCAGAAACTCGGATCCATAAAGCTGCAGAGAGGTGTGAATGGAATACTAAATATGTTCTAGGCTGTCCATGGATGGAGGGCAGGCTCTGAATCAGTGCCTGGGGTGCTCAGAGTGTGGCAGCAGAGGGCATTTTGCCCATGGCCTCGGTGCTGGGGAGATGGAGGGACCCCCAGAGAGGGACACGGGCTGTTCTGATCAGCTGTGCCCAGGAGCCTCTGGCGCTGCCTTTTAAACCCAACTGCCCAGCTCTGGTTCCAGCAGCTTTTTCCTTCAGTTCCTGGACAAAAACCTGCTCTGCTGCCTTCTGGGTTGGTCCAGCAGGAATTGTTGCTCCTTAAGTTTCCTCCATGGGAGCCTGGAGGCTCCTCTGGCTGCACAGGGTTGGGGTTGGGATAAAGGTTAGGATTGGGGTTAGGGTAAGGGTTAGGATTTGGGTTAGGGCAAGGGTTTGGATTGGGGTTAGGGTAAGGGTTAGGATTTGGGTTAGGGCAAGGGTTTGGATTGGGGTTAGGGCAAGGATTAGGATTGGGGTTAGGGCAAGGGCTTGGATTGGGGTTAGGGTAAGGGTTAGGATTGGGGTTAGGGTAAGGGTTTGGATTTGGGTTAGGGTAAGGGTTAGTGTAAGGATTAGGGTCAGGCAGCCCTGTGTGCTCCCCCTTGATTTGCTGAAGGTTTTGCCTCGCTCATCAGAGCTGGCACCCCGGCATTCCTGAGTGATCCCGGTGATTCCTGCTGGGCTTGCTTAGTCCTTGCTGTGCCCGTGAGTGCAGTGACCACTGCCAACACAGGAGTGACCACTGCTGGGACCTGAGTGACCATTCCCATGGCCACAGCCAGAACAGGAGTGACCACTGCCATGTTCGCTGCCAGGACCAGAGTGACCATTCCCATGTTCGCTGCCAGGACCGGAGTGGCCGCTCCCGCTCGGTGCGCTGCTCTCCCTCTGTCCCTGTCCCAGGTAAATCCGGGATTCTCCGCAGCTCCCGCTCGGTGCGCTGCTCTCCCTCTGTCCCTGTCCCAGGTAAATCCGGGATTCTCCGCCGCTCCCGCTCCGTTCCAGCCGCGGCCGGCGGGCGTCCCCCTTGCCCCGCAAACCGCGCCCGGCTCCTGGGAAATCCGAGAGCTTTCCTCTCTCAAGGAAACCCAAGATCAGCGGGTGACTGGCAGGCAGCGTTCAGCAGCATCCCCCGCTTTGCTGGCGCTGCAGAACCGGCCCGTGCCATCCCTCCGGTGGCTTTGTGCGTCATTCCATTAGGGAAAGTCATTTCCAGGGATGGGTTCGGCTTCTCTTCATCTCAGCAGAGATTAAACCCCTCTAATTAACTCCTCAAGGGGCATTCGAGAGCCGAGGAGCTCTGTGGTTGTGTCGGGGTGGTGAGGCTCGGAATGAGCTGGAGATGGAACAAAGCTTGGGTGAAATGCACTTAAAGAGAGTCTGCTCTGTCCCCTGCCACAGGCTCTAGGATAGCACCAAAAAAAGCCCTTCAGATCTCCAATATGAAATTGAAAGACTCGAGCAGAGGGAGAGCATCAGCTCTCTTCGAGGTCACTGCAATACCAGACTATTAGGTGAATTATACACTGGAATACTCCAGGAAAAGGAGATTAAAAGAAAGTTACTTGAAAAGATAAGAAAACCCCATCCTCTGCTCCCTCTAACCCTCAGGAGACGTGAGAAAACGGGCAGCTGGTAATGAAGAGATTTTTAAACGACCCTTCTTTGCCTGTCTGCTGTGTAAGAGAACAGAGAAAGAGCTGTTGTTAAAGGTAAAATGAAATAGCAGTTTTATTCAGCTGTGGGAGAGTTAGGGCTGTTTTATTTAGGATATTTAGCTGCCAGACATCCTCCTGCTGCCAATAACAGCAGTTACACCTGGAGAGTGGAGCAGATCTTTTTGGGGAAGCACAGTACACCAATTAAACTTCCTCTTGGATTCCTGCTCTCTGGTCCTGAAGGCAAGGAAATCAAAAAGAGATGAGGAAGGGCTGTCCCCACATTTAACTACTTGTTTAGCTTTTACAGGAGGGAAAGGGCTTTTCTCTGTCTCCTGAGGAGCTGGGGGTGTTTGGAGGTAGCAGTGACAGTTCCACCAAGCTGAGGCTGCATCACTCCCTGTGCTGTCAGGTTTGGACAGAGCATTTTCTCCCTAGGGCTCCTCCAGCAGCCAGAGCCAGCCTTGCCTGCAGGTTGTTGGTGGCACGTCCTGGGGACGTTGTGTGTGTTTGCACGGTGTCACTTTGTCCCTTTGCTGAAATGCAGCTGAGTTTGGGCCTGGAGGGACTGTTAGCACACAGAAAGTGAGAGATGCAGGCACACACCCAGGGCTCAGGCTGGTGAAACCCACCAGGACAATTTCTGCTGGTGGCTCTCTCGTTTTGGTGCCAGCAGAAGGGCCCTTCCAGGAGCTGCAGTGGATTTAAGGGGATGAGGAGGTCTGGCACCAGTTCCTGTGAAAACTGCTGTCGGAGCATCGAGGCAGGAGTGGGGAGCACCACAAAAGGCAGAAGGCTCAGTGCTTCCTTGACAGCCTGATTGGAACAGCAGTAAATCCAAACCAAAGGATGCTGGTGGCTCAGTTTGCCTGCCCGTGGCTGGGGAAAGCTCTTCCCACCCAGCCTTCACAGGGAGCACAGGTAAATTTATCCTGCTGGAAGGAGAAGCTGCTCACCTGCCTGGGACTGGGATGTGCAGAGGGCAAACAGCTTCGATTTCTCCTCTAAAGACAAAGCACAGAAAGAGGTGCAGTTTGTGTGAGATACATTCCAACAAATCCACCTTTTCTCCAGCATGGCAGGGGATTTTGTTTGGCTTGGCACTGTGGGAAATCACTGATTTCACTGCCACCAATTCCTGTATCCCAGTGCTGGGATTTTTGCAGAGAAAAGCCAGTGGGCACAGAGGAACCGGGGCAGTGCAGCTCAGCCTGGGGGCACACGCTGTGCTCTCAGACAAGGCGAGGAGTGTGATTGTGTCCTGCCATTCCCTAGGAAAGGAATTGGGCTGTGGAGTGTGATTGTGTCCTGCCATTCCCTAGGAAAGGAATTGGGCTGTGGAGTGTGATTGTGTCCTGCCATTCCCTAGGAAAGGAATTGGGCTGTGGAGTGTGATTGTGTCCTGCCATTCCCTAGGAAAGGAATTGGGCTGTGGAGTGTGATTGTGTCCTGCCATTCCCTAGGAAAGGAATTGGGCTGTGGAGTGTGATTGTGTCCTGCCATTCCCTAGGAAAGGAATTGGGCTGTGGAGTGTGATTGTGTCCTGCCATTCCCTAGGAAAGGAATTGGGCTGTGGAGTGTGATTGTGTCCTGCCATTCCCTAGGAAAGGAATTGGGCTGTGGAGTGTGATTGTGTCCTGCCATTCCCTAGGAAAGGAATTGGGCTGTGGAGTGTGATTGTGTCCTGCCATTCCCTAGGAAAGGAATTGGGCTGTGGAGTGTGATTGTGTCCTGCCATTCCCTAGGAAAGGAATTGGGCTGTGGAGTGTGATTGTGTCCTGCCATTCCCTAGGAAAGGAATTGGGCTGTGGAGTGTGATTGTGTCCTGCCATTCCCTAGGAAAGGAATTGGGCTGTGGAGTGTGATTGTGTCCTGCCATTCCCTAGGAAAGGAATTGGGCTGTGGAGTGTGATTGTGTCCTGCCATTCCCTAGGAAAGGAATTGGGCTGTGGAGAGTGTTTGTGTCCTGCCATCCCCACGGAAGGGGCTGGATGTGCCCAGCAGCTCTCACCCCGTGGAATTCC